AGAGTTTTTAGATGATTTTGTTATCTGTTACCTAAACGATATCTTAATATATTCTAAAAACACAGAAGAACATGAACTTCATGTTTGTCGTGTATTATAAAAACTAAGAAGTGTGAGACTCTATTCTAAGATAGAAAAGTGTGTATTTCATACTACACAAGTCGACTTCTTAAGATACATCATTTCAAATGATTGACTTATGATGGATCCTAAGAAAGCTTAAGCTATTACGGATTGGAAGATCTCCAAAACAGTAAGAGATGTCCAATGCTTTTTGGAATTTGCCAACTACTATCGGATCTTCATCAAAGACTTCTCTTAAGTTGCAGCTCTACTTACACATTTGACTTGTAAAGACAAACTTCAATGGAATCAAGAAGCGGAAGTAGCATTTGAAGCTTTAAAGATAGCCTTTGTTTTTGCACCAATCTTGTATTGTGTCAATTTTTCTAAGCCATTTTTATAGAAACAAACGCATTAGACTTTGCTTTGGGTGCCGTATTGTCACAAATGAGAACAGATGATAAACTTCACCTAATAGCTTTTCATTCTAGAAAATTTTCAGTAGCCGAGATCAACTATGAGATCCATGATAAAGAACTTCTTGCAATTGTGGATTCGTTTCAAGAATAGTGTCATTATCTAGAAGGTGCTCCTAGCCCAATCGCTATATATACAGATCACAAGAACCATGAATATTTTATGTCAGCATGTCTTTTGAATTGTCTTCAAGTTTGTTGGAGTATGTCTTTGTCAAGATTTGAATTCAAGTTCACTTATCGACCGAAAAAACAACAAGGTTTGTGAGATATAATTTCTAGACGATCTTATCTTACACCAAAGGAAAGAGATGTTGTTTTTGATCAGCAATGAAGAATTCTCTTGAAGCTAGAGCATCTTCATCTTCAAACAATGAAATCAACACTAAATGTTGATTCAACTTTCATTAAGCAAGTTCAGTCAAGTATGTCTCTTGATCCTCTTATTCATGAGATTAAAGAAAATCCTTCAAAGTCTCATGATACTTCTAAGTTTGAATTCAAAAATAATCTATTATATTTCGAGGGATGCCTATATGTTCTAGAAGGTGAAGCTCAATTACATGTTCTTCAAGCTCATCATGACTTTCCAGTAGCATGACATTTTGGATACAATAAAACTTTGGAACTAATATCTAAAGATTTTTGGTGGCCCCAAATGTGAAAGGCAGTCAAAGATTTTGTACAATCTTGTGATGTTTGCTCAAGATCAAAAACTCCTCATCATCGACCTTACGGACTTCTTCAACCATTATCTATTCCAAAACAACCATGGTCTTCTGTTTCTATGGATTTTATCATAGATCTTCCAATCTAAGGTTCTTATGACTCTATATTTGTGATATTAGATCGTTTTACCAAAATGGTACATTTTGTACCATGTACAAAATCTATCATAAGTAAAGAAACAGCTAAACTCTTTCTTGACAACATTTATCACCATTATAGATTATCCAAAGATATTATATCCCATAAGGGAACTCATTTTGTATCAAGGTTTTGGCGGACTCTTTTCAAGATTCTAAAAGTGGATATAAAACTATCTTTGGTATTCCATCCTCAAACTGATGGACAAACGGAGCGTGTTAATCAAGGTTTGGAACAGTATTTAAGATGTACCATCAACTACTTATAAGATGATTGGACAATTCTTTTGCCATTGGCAGAGTTTGCTTATAATAACATGATATATTCTTCTACAAAACAAACACCTTTCATTGCCAATTATGATTATGATCCACAACTTGATACTTTTGACTTTTTAAAAGCTGATAATCCTGCGGTAGAAGATTTGGCAAATCATTTGATAGAGCTACATGCAATAATAAAGGCATAGTTAAAAGAAGTTCAAGAACAACAAAAGATCAATACAAATGTCTATCGAAAAAATCAACCTTCTACATGGGTGACAAAGTATGGTTACTTTGTCGCAATATCAAGACAACTCATCTTTGTGATAAGTTGGACTATCGTAGACTTGGATCATGTAAAGAATCTTACAAATGCAATAAAGGTGATGGAGGCTTTTTATTGACGACATCCATCAAAATCAAGTTAAAAACCTTCCTTAGAAAAGAAACAAGATCTACGCAAGATAACATTCTACTTTCAATCCTTGTTTGTAACTTCTTTGTAGTTGTTACGTTAAGGAGATGGAGAACCAACAACTAGCAATTTCAATTGAAGGATCTCATTTGTTGACCTGCCAAACAAAACATTGCAATTGTCATAACTTTCAGACGATGCAATCAAGATGAAGATCCTCAAGAACAATATATTTTTCCTCGAATAGATGGCGAAATACAATGCATTTAGTATCACAACCTTAGAAGAGATTCTTGATGTTTGATAATTTTATTAGAGGTAGAAACAATTCTTAATAGCATTTCAAATATTTTATTTGAACGAAATTATGAAGACCTCAATAATGATCAAATAATAGGGTGGTCTTTTTGTCCTGGTATAGGACACTACCAATACACATGTAAGTCAATAATTACTTGTATAAATAGATAGAAGTAGATAGAAGTATATAAAAATAACTTAATTCTATAATATCTTCCATACAAGCTTCTTAAAAGCTTTATAGATACTGCTTTGGCTTTGTAGGTGTCTATAATTGACTTTTTAAACTAGAAAAATAATCAACAAGTTGGCCATGTGCCATACATGTTAACTTGAAGATTAAGCTAACTATAAAGCCTATACTTAAAAAAACTTGTCTTGTAAATCAAAGCATGTGTCTTATAAAGTCAACACATATTTAAGGTCATATAAAACATCACCACATAATCCTGAGTTAAATAGTATATAGAGAGACAAGAGTGAAACTTTCTTCACTGCTTTCTTTATTCTACTCTAATTTCAGGAGTCTTAAATTTCCATGTCTTTTAACAATAAGCCATTTCATTTTTTTTTTAATATACATAATTCCTTATTTCTATTTAATTACTCTTTCTTTGACACGAATTTCATTCATTCATGCATCATCCCAAACACCTTAATATAAATAAATTACATCTAATTAATTCTCTCTAATTATTTTTTTATAATATATTATTATCATTCAACCATTTACCTAACATCCCGCCTTATTGATCTACATACAACACCACTTACTTTGGGTTCTAGCTTCCTTCCACCAATTACTCCAATCACCTCTACACTCCGATCACTATAATCTATAACTTCTTGAAACCACACTTTAAGCAGCTTCAGCAACACAAACATTCACTCCAATTGGAACTATTCCTTCAAAGTTAAGTGATCCAAACTGCCAACCCGATATCCACTCGTCACATGTTTCGTTGCCACAAATTCGTCTTGCTCCTACTTCGATGATCCTAAACTTGTCAGAAGCTGACATCAAGCGGCTCCTGCCTTCAAAAGTTCCACCCAAAATCCGCGAATCCAACATACTGATCGGAAAAATCCAAGGCCCTCCGACAATAAACCGAATCACAACCGATGGCGCATACTACCAACTTTGGGCACTCGTCCAATATCCTATTCAGATTCTTGAGAACTTGCAGCGTTCACATAACGGGCTCAGAAGGCAGTAAGCTCACGCACCAACTCACGATATTCAACTTGTGATATGCATGCATTGAATGCTCAACCAACGAGTACATCCGCAAAACCACTAGAATCATGTGTGTCGCAGATTCAGAACCACACTAGACCCACTGCTACCGCTACTCGACCTAGATCTCAAAAACTCTCTCGCCCATGGCTCGATTCGTGCGCAACACCTGATCGAACTTCAGATTTTCCCGTCCACTCTAGGCCTGCGCCAGCAAAAACAAAACCCTAAAATCAAAAATTCGCAGCGGCGCCCGCCGCTCTCCTCTGCTGTCTCTCCGCCTACTCACGAAAAGTCGTCCTATCGAGTAAGCTCCCTCGCGCAATAAATGTGAGTGTCGACGCCCCAGCTGTTTCATCGGTGAAACAGCTGTCTCCGAAATCATCGATACCCCTCACAGACCTCGTTGTCGTCCTCAGCTGGTTTAGGGTTTAGGACATGATTGTTCAGTATCCTATTCAGGTATCATTGACGATGTATCATTGATACCCCTCATAGACCCCTTTCACTTCGCTTCGAGATCATCGATCCCCCTCACACCTCGTTGTCGTGCTTCGCTGATTCTACGAAGATGTGTTCTCGTCAAGATCTTCATGGAAAAATCATCAGATCTTATCCAAAGCTTTACAACACTAGCAACTTCATTGATGGTCATTGAGGCACTCTGTTGCTGCAACAATCCTCTTCACAGATGGCCGGTGCCTCAGGACAACAAAACACCACAACGACCATCACATCATTGTCATGCAGGTGCTTGAGAAATGTTGGATTCCTTACCCGTAATTTGAGTTCCAGGGCATCCGACTTCAACTGGATCCAAATCTCGGTTCCACGTCATGGAGGTTCATTCCCTGTATTTTTGGTAACGGCAAAGGTTACCATAAGCTTTAGACTCCCTTGTGCTGATGCAGATTTTAGATAGTCAACGATGTTCCGAAGTTTGTGTTGCTGTTGGGATTTCAATGGGACTTGCGTTGGCAATCAATGCCCAGGTATATCGTCCAGGACTGCCTTCAACATCGTGCACGATTCAGTTTGCTACGGATGAGCCAAAGCACCAGTTAGTGTACCAGCTGAATGAGGGAACCCACCCAAGTAGTAGGGAAAGATTTGGGAATTACGGCATTGCAAACGGTTTTGTATAGGGGGATGGTCTGGGCGAAGAAGCGAAAGAAGGTTTGATGTCGTCTTCGAGTGACGTAGTATGAGGAGGAATGCATTTATACAACTCGACCATGCAGTGTCTCGTTAGCGGGCAGTTTGACAAAGTGGCAGTTGAATACCATGTATCAAAACACGAAGAAACGGAACGATACTGTTACCGACAGTACCATTAACTTCACCTGCTGTTCCAATGATCGCAAACAAGAAGTGCAAAATTGAAGCAGGTAAAATTGTGCACTTCTTTAACCAAGCAATAAGAATGAAACTACATAGTTGGTAATGTTTACAGTATAGCTGCTTGAAAAAGTACTTTTATAAAAGTCTAGAAAAAAGCTTAGTGAGGCTCTCTAACACGCCGACACTAACATTCCTCCCAAAACACTGGGACCTACTGCAGTGATAAATTCAGCACTCTTAAGCTGTATCTTGCCAACCCACAAGTCGGAACATATACATTCAGCCCGATCTAGCTGCTGGCGTTCCTAACTCAGATGTTGAAAGAAAAGAGACTGTTATAACTAAATTCTACAACAATGGTATTTAACCTGTGAACTTTTGATGACGTGAGCGGTCAAATAAAAAAACTCTTTCCAAACGGCTAAGTGAAGTGATTTACTAATTTCGTTTTTTCCATGAACGTTTTAATTATTTTTGTGTTACCACTCTCTACAGAAAGACTCCTACATTTGCTGATAAATCTTGCAGGAATGAAAAACAAAGTTTTATTAAATCCCCTTATTTACCAGTGGAACCCATACTTGTTTTGAAGTTCAGATTAAACCACTTATTCGACTTCTTTGATTTCTCAGCATTTAATCCTGAAGTAGGTGACTCGCTTTCATCTGCACTTAAAAGTGAATCTTCCCCAGATCCCTTTGCCGTGTTGCTGCTGCTCACTTTTTTAGGAGCTGAGGGTACAGAAGTGAAGGATTCTTGAATCTTTTCACGTGTTTTAAGCAACTCTTCCACCTGGATATCAAAACTGCTTGAGTTATTACCTATTAGAGCTAAATTAGGTAAATAAATGAACAAATGAATGAATACATAATTATACATATCCTTGCACCTCAAGGATCTCATCTAAGAAGACAGAAAATAATCAACAAAAAAATAAGTGATGAGGTACCCAAGCCGAATATTGGCTGGCTCAGGGTCTTGCAGAATGCGAGTTCAACTCTAATGTTGTCATCATCATTACATCAGAAACCTAAAACCAGCTATGAGCGACTGGGAGATTTTATATACCACTTGTTTTTCTTGAGTGTACTTGTTTGTGACAGCCTGGAACCGAGCTAAAACCTGTACAAATACACCAGTTTTAATAATGAGTTACATTTACTCTCAACAGACATAGCTGGAAAACTCGACATGCAAGTGAATCTGTAACAGTAGGGAATGTTGTCGACGGATTTAGTTACAAGATAGCTTTCAAAAACGTAGTTTTAGCTCAGCTTACCTCCCGATATTCAGTTTCAAACTGTCGAAGCTCATTTCGTTTCAACAATATCTGAGCTTCAACTTCCTTCAACTTCACTGCAGTCTCCAAACATGACTCGGCACAAATAGCCTCAATTGTGTAGCTGGCACTCTTAAAGAAGTTATCACCTTCAAAACATCACAAAACCTTTCTGTAAATAGCAAACAAAGTAGTACCAAACTACTTTGAGGCAATTTGCAATTCAATCATAAACAAACGCTTAAATAATTAGACTCACCGTATACAGCGAAAATGTGTGTGCCCGCCTTTAATTCCGACATTTCACAGGGTTGCAGGCCTTCCAACCTCTTAAAAAATGCTGCATCTGGATCTTTTGCTATTGCGAGCTGCATTAGAGCACGACGAAAATGAAAACTCAGATCATTATTTTTATCATTAATTTTAAAACCGTATCAATCTGGATAAATCATATCAGAATCGGATGGGGGAATCAGAAGAAAATAGAGCAAGATTGACACTGATGCCAACGTTTGGCCTTGACAGTGTCCAAAGCGCAAACAACAGTACATCGAGAACAAAGGTTGCCGCTCACCGCGTTGACCGTCGGGTCTAATCGATATACTTGGAAATGTAAGAAATAAAAGCCGGCAGAGGTGACCTTCCCAGTCTTCACACTATCTTCCTGTGCATCCCAAGCAAAAAGATCCTTATGATATTGTAGCTCCACGAACAACATACTGACAAATAATATCAAAATTACTAATAGTAACATATTGCAGCACCAAGGCACAATCTCAATTGCATTAGAATTATGCAATCGTACCTGCAGCGCCAAACCTAATCCACCATTTTCTTCTTGCTCAAAGTAAAGTAACTGTAAGAACAAATAAGAAAAATTAGTGCTGGAGACATTCGTATTTTCATTGTTTGAGGTTAGCAGATGAACCCAAAAAGGTTTATCAGCATTAGTATGATTTAACACGTTACTACTCAAAGAGAAAGCTAAATAGAGACCAATTACAGAGCAGAAATTTAATAAGCACTGTGTCAAACTTACTTTGAACTTGCTTTGCACAGATGACACCACCCGTATCACAACACCTGCTTCTGCTTGCGCTTCAGAGATCGTTATACCAAAGAAATGTGCCCCTTGTTTCTCAACCTGAAAGACCAACAATATATCATTTTCCGAAAAAACACGCGAGAAAAGGAAGAGATCCTGACAAAATCTATGCACACAATTTCCTGATCATAAAAGGTATTTCACACCCGAACCAAGTAGCTAACTAATTAACAATCTAAAATTTCTCAAGACAAGAACGGTAACTCGACAAATCGAGTGAGTCAAAGCCACAGAAAACAGGGTAGAACGTTAAGGATGCGATAAATCTTATGATACCGGCTCACCTTATCATTCACAGCTCGCCCCAGGGGAAGAGGTCTTATTGTTACAGTACCATTGAGAGCCTCTTCCAGAACAGTTGCCGAGATTGTTGTTTTGATTGGAACGCCCAACTTGCTGAAATGCATGAGCAATAGAGTCAACTATTAGTGCACTACCTTTTCAATCATAGAAATATGAATCCGAAAAAACTTACGAAACAGACGACACACAAAAAGCCCCTAATGAAACTGACCAACAAATGCACACTGCAACAGAATCACCGAAGACGTTATACTGCGTATTACAAACATATTCTGCTTGCAGTTTGAAGGGACTCAAAAATTCTGGATATACATGTTGAATTGGCATTAACTTTTAAAAAGAAAAAATTGTCCTTACAACCCATTGTTCAACTTGATCATCATAGCAATACTAGAATCATACACTCCATCAAGAACAGACAACATACCTGAACAGCGCAGCAAACATAGTATTCACAGTTCCAAGATTGGAAAGGTCTAGCTCCATGTCCAATCCCTCCAAATCAACAGCCTGAAACCATTTAGAAAGTCTCAGAGTCAGTACGAAATCTCCTCTAACTAAGTCAGCTTATAAATGTACGACTGTATGATAAACCTTAACAAATACCATAATGGTCCATAGAAAATGAAAATTAACGTCTATTTCTTGGACCTGGGAATCAAATCCAAATCCTTAATTGGGTGATCTAACTTAATTATTAGAGATAAAAATAAAATGCTTATTAGAAATGTAGTTAACGTACGATCCACCGGGAACAAAATCCAATAGAAACTAGGTAACAACTCATACTAGAATTAATAAGGAAATCATATTTCAGGTATAATTATAATGAATTACTTAAACACATCTGCTAAAAACATTCTACAATCACCCTCGAAACATAGACGAAGCAACATACGTCAAATCCAGCATTATCATATTGCCTTCGCTTCTCGGGATCTGAGAGAATGCCGTACGAATAGGCAACTTCCTTAAACTTCTCAGCAGCCTCTGGGTTGCCTGTGTTCTTATCTGGATGATACCTGCACTCAACAATCGTCAATGTCAGATTAATTGTCTTAAATTTGCCTTGAGCAGTTATACGCAAGAAAAGACGAAAACCCTAATATGAGAAATCCTAATTTGGAGAATCCTTGTTCGATCATTATAATGCCACGATGTAAACCATCAATTCAGCTCAGAGGCTTGTCCTTGTGACCACGCTCTTTCTTCACGACATTCCGTAGCACATGATGACATTCTTCAAATTAAACAAAAACAAATAAAGAGTAAAACAATATAATCGGATGATGTGAAGGAACATCAACATTGAATTTAAAGCCAGAGTTATGTTTTGAAAAAAGATGAGGGTACTATGTATCGTTTTATGGACACAATAGTCCAACAAAAATCAAGTTAATACGACCCCGACAGCATTACAGCGGGTGCTCGGTGATGTTACGAGTAACAGAAGAGGCACATCATTTTGGTAGCGAAATCTTCAATCCACTGAGCATGGAATCCACCATTTCTTAGATAAAGTAAATCATACAAACCACAGGCCGAGTGAGGATGTACAGTATAGAGACTTACTTCAGAGCCAACTTTCTGTAAGTGCTCTTAATTTGTTGTTCTGAGGCATCACGCGACAAACCAAGAACTTCGTAAGGATCTCGACGTCCAGCTGAAGGACGCGATACTGTAGTACCCGCATCCTGCCCCTCTGAATCAGCCATATCGTCACACTTGGTGCTCTTGCCTCCCTGCCGCTCTGCTAGTTCGAACCAGATGTCGCAAGATTTTACTTGTGTGTCTGATCACGAATTCAAACTTTTACGGTATATAATAAACGTGTTCTACCATAGTCGTCCTTAGATCGAACGAAGGGCCCTCCTCCAGGCCCTAGCTGCTTCACTAATCGGTTTCAATTCAACTTTCTATATACGTCACAAGGAATTCCCCGGCAGCCCAGTCTCGTAAAAGATCTGTCACACCAAGAGATGAAATCATTCCTCGAAGGCACTCGGTCCTAGTCGTTCCACTCCCCCAGGCTGGGAGTCCAGAGCATAAATAAATTTCCAGAGCAACTCCACAAGAGGTAATCGGGTATAGCAACCTGTCCAAAGAGGCCTATTAGTCGAAGAAAACGAGAATGATGAACTTCGAGAACCTAAGTCGGCAGCCCTCGGGAAGGAAGAAAAACCTCAACCGCAGCAGGAAACCACCTGGGCATCATTGCTCCGAATCACAAAGAGAAAATAAAAATAAAAACAATACAACGAAACCACGCTGCAAAACAGACTTATACATTGAAACACAGCACGAAGGAGAACCTCGTCAACGGATCGTCCTCATCCCATTAATTCACCACAATAAAAAAAAGCTTCGAGCGCCATGAGAGGTAAAATAAGGAAGGAAAAACACACACGTCAACTACACCTCAGAAAGAACGGCTGAAATACAAAATACAACCTGCCTTACAACAAATAAATCTCCTGAAGGAAAGATCTACACCGCGTCAGACCAAGTTCAACGACACAACGGATAACCGAATGCGCAACTAGAGATTGCACATATACTAATTAACCTACTCAGGTGCCGCAATAAAAGCTGCCGGAATGGGATGCTCCGGGAGGAGCGCGGCATGAAACTCAAAAGCAGAGCAAGCAACAATACGTGAGTCTAACGATACTCCGATGACGGAAGGGTGCAGAGTAAACTTGAATTGGAAGTCACGACGGAGACCTAGCGATGGCGAATGGCGGGCCCATCTCCGCTGCCGCTGCGACACCCTCGGCATACACACACCCCCCACCCCCCCCCCCCCCGTGCTTCCAACTCTCTCCACCCCTCTGCGCACAAGCGGACAACCATTCTGATTGGAATGGTCGTCCTCCATATTCTCCGAGACTTGGTCCACGCTTCCTGATGACCCTGACTCGGAGCAGACAAGGGCCGCTGGATGAATGGTGATGTTGATTACTGCTGCTGGTTCGCTTTTGGATAATTTCGTTGGCCACGCTTTCAAATGTAGACTACCAGTAATGAATACGTACGTTCGTACATATACATATATTGGAATTTTATATATATTGGAATTTAAATTTATTTTCTGATTTAGTTTGCATGGTTTTAGTTTTTTAATTTTTTTTTGTAATTAGAAACAAAAAAAATTCGGAATTTTCTTTTAAATAAAATTTCAAAGAATATTTGTTCTATTCTAAAAAAACATTCTATACGGTTATTCTTACAAAAATAATATATATATATATATATATATATATGAACCAAACATGAATCTGTATAAATCTATCCAAAAATTATACTAATTTTTACTACCTTTAAAACTACATTGTTTCTAGATCCTTCACTTTTATTGCCTCATTATAATGCTATCTAAAATCAAAAACTTGCAAAGCATATACTTCTTAAATTTTTTTAAATCCAATTTCTAATTGCATAATTTTATCTCTAAAAGAATCTTTTATTTACCATAACTGCATGATTTTATATCATAAGATCTAATTTCAATCTTTTCTTAGAAATAGTCCTTCTTATATATTAATCTAATTATTTTATTAATAAAAGTTTTAGAAACCTAATCTTTTAAAGGAATTACATGCCATTTTTTTAATGGTAGTATAAAACATTAAATTTCTAATTATGCTTAATGTATAAGCTAAAATTTCCTAAAAACATAGCTATTAATCTTTTACATAAGACTTTTTTACACCTTTTGATCTTTATTTATACTTCTCTCTAAAAATTATATCATAATATGATAATATTGCATTTGATTGCACCTAATATCTTTATACTCAATGCTTAAATCTTATATGAATGTTTCTAATGGATCAAATTGAAATGGTGGATCTATAATTGTCAATGATACTTATATAGCTTGTATATGCTACAAAGAAATAAAAAACTCACCATCCATTAAAGAAAAAGCAAGCATTGGATTTTATGATTTATTATCCTTGTTATCTTCTTTTAAATTTTTTTATTTCATCAAAGATACTAAAATAATATATATATATATATTTAAAGTAATGATAAACTTAGTAAGTTTAATATTAATAGCATTCTATTTTATCAAGTTCATTAAAGCAATCTCCTAATTAATACTTATATATTTGAAATATTATAAATATATATATATATATAATTTAAGTAAATAAAAATAATTTAAAATATAATAGATAGATAATATATATATATATTTAAAAAAATGGACTCAAATTAGATCTTTAGACTTATATATATATATATATATATATATATATATATATATATTTATCACTTGACTCTTTAAACTTATTTTATAATTTTTTTTACTTATAAATAGTTTTATGTAAAAAAAATTTGTATCAAAGTATCAAAGATCTCCAATATATATCCAACTTGTAAAACACATGTCTAACAAGACAAGTTTCATATATTCACCGCATAACAAACTTCTACTACAAATGACTAACATGAGTAATATGTGGCGAATTTGTTGGCTAAACTTTCAATGTATCAATGATCTAAAAATAAGTATAAAGCCAAATCTTTTCTATAAAGCTTTTAAGAAGCTTTGTATAAGATATTATCATATCTATTTGCTTCTACTTACTTCTATCCAATCTCTTTAATCTAGGTAAATACATATGTATATGACATTATTATTTTATTATTATTTTTTTTTATAGGAGTAAGTTCTACAAAGAATGGCTATCATATATTGACAAAGTCTAGGATACAACAAATTGTATTTGTATCAAGGACATAAATTTTAAAGAAAGAAAATCCTCAATATACTCTTATATCATTAAAAAGAACGAGAAAGTCACTCAAAGATGATATAATATTAAATTAGAATGGCTATTTCTAAAAATAGTAAGATTAGAAAGTCTTAGAATAAGACTAAAGACTAAAAAGATATTGAGAAGATTAAAGAAGACTTTATTCTTACCTCCATATATATTCTTAACTAAGAACTACATGGCAATGTTGTATAGGACCTCTAAAACGTATTGACTTTGCAAGATACATATCTTAACTTGTAAGATAAGTTTTTTATATGTATGCCATGTAGTGAGCTTGTTTTGCAAGCTATCAACATGTGATTAACTTGTAGAACAAGTTTCTAACCTATCAATCAATTAAAAATATATGCAAAGTCAATGCAACATCTATGAAGCTTTTAGAAAGCTTCTCTAAAAGGTATTATGAAATTAATTTACTTTTATTTACTTTTATTTACTTCTACTTAATCATATAGGTATCTACTAGAGTATGTAACTATATCCATAACATTACCCCCCTTTCTGGGGAGAAGTGCCATGAAGAGCGATCATCATGTATTGATAAAATGAAGAGCGATCATCATGTATTGATAAAATGTAAGATGCAATAAATTGTATTCGCAACATACTCTGATCTTTGTTCTCTTCGAAGATGGTTGATAGGTTGTAACAAGACATAGATAAGATATTTATATTATTTGCACATAAAAATATGTAGGTAGAATCATTTTTGGAAAATTTCTAGAATTGAGGTTAAGATGGTGGTTCATGTAGGATCCACCATAGAACCTTCTAGAAAGGCTAAGGATGGTTATCATGATAGGATTCACTTCTAGAATCTTTTAGAAAGGCGGTTATCTTAGTGGGGCCTATCATTAGAGATATTTTAGAAAGTTTTAGGATAATTTAAATAAGTATAAATAGAGCTAATTGTGATCATTTAGGTATTTAGTCAATTATGGCTTTACATTATTTCTTTTAATAAAGTTTAGTTTTTTGTTTCATTCTATTAAATTTTATTTGATTTTATTTGCTTCTATTTTCTTTTACTTAGTCCTATCTTTCTAGTTCTATTTCGTTTTGTTACTTTTAGTTTTATTTTAGTAAGCTTTGTCTTACATTGTATCAAAATCTTTGTTGTTATGGATTTGGTAAGGTTTTAGATCTTAAAGGATTTGGTCCTATTTCATTGATATGAAAGCAAGTGTTAGTTTGTCTTTTGGTGGTGTATTGATAGCCACTATTTAATTAGAAAGTCAATTATTGTGATCACATTGGATATTATTTTGGAACTACAACAAGCTACTTTAAGAAGTCAGCTGGAACAAGAAAAGGCATTACAATAGCAAATTTCAACAAGAAAATTATAACATGGAAGATATGGTAGAGCAATCTTAGATAGAAACTCGGATATAACATCTTTTAGACCAAATAGCTATTCTACAAGGACAAATAGAAGCTTCTAAGGCAACAGACTCAACACTTATTAGGTTAGAATTTGAAAAGCTTAATACATATTCGAGAATCTCAAGGTAAGAAGATGTATGCTAATAGCTCTTTGTAGAATAAGTAGTTATTTTCAGAATGTAGATACCTAGTGTATAGTGTAAACAAGGATAGATAATTGTTGAAAAGGTGGTTCAGCAGGTAGAATGGATGAATAGTCAGAAAAAGTAGTTATCATCTATAGTGTAGGAGATGGTATCTCGGGGTAGTATAAGGAGGATGGGAGAGGGGAAGAAAATGCCAGACTGTGAGAGTTGTGAGCCAAGGGCTAGACTATGAGAGTTGTGAGCCGGGGTAAGCTTGGTGCTACCTCTTTTTTTTTTGTTTGTTATTTTCTTTGAATAAGAAGATTGAAATTTTCTGAATATTGTGAAGTGAATTATGGAATGGAAATGTGATTGGTATTATTTGAGAAGAAGAAAGATTGAATGTTGAAATTTGATTGTAGTTCAGCAGAGAGAATGAGTATGTGTTTGTGTGAAACATTGTAATGTGAATGGCAGTTTTGTGTGAAGAATTCCAGTGATTGGAACGAGGGTAATTGTGTGCTGAAAGCTGTGAGGGCACAGTATTATAGTTGAAGATTATGAAAGTGAATATATTGGTGGAAATAGCAGTTATTGGTATGACTGAATTGTTGTAAGGAAGAGATCGATAAGATGAAGGAAGAGATTATAGTTTCCTTGTGTGTTCAGATATTGGAAATAGAGACGATACATTCAGGAGGTAATTGATTGTGTGAGCCTAACGTGAACGCTTAAGCAACTAGTCATTCCCCGTGTTCGAATCTCTATATACGGGTTTATGTTGGGAGGTTTCTTACAGAATAAGTAAAACAAACAATCACATTTTGGCGCCCCTGCCAGGGATTGACAACATTATTGAGTGTTAGGAATTAACTGTCGAAGCAGTAAAAGAGATTAGGAAGCAAACTCAGTAGAAATAATGAAAGAGTATGGTTATTAAGAATAAGAATTTAACAGTAAAGAGAATAAAGCAATCAAAAGAAAGAACAGAGCGATCGCAAGTAAGAGATTTGTTGCGTAATGAACAAGATCACAAATTAAAAAAGAAGCATCGACAAAGTTGGATTAAGCCGTGGTTGCATGCCTGTCGGCATATTCGATCGTACCTAGAAGACGATCGACTTCTAATACTTCAGAAGTACATACCGTTAAAGAACTGCCAAGAGCACTTGTGGAGAGCGCTGCTAATAGTCCAGCAAACCTCTCAAAGTTGTTAACGGAAAACGAGGAAGGCTTAGAGGAATTAGGTACCCCACTAGGTATCTTTTCAATTAGAAATATGTCCGATCCTAACAAGACTGGTTCTGAAGATTGACATAAATCACTTGCCAATAAAGATCAATTTAGAGTATATCAAAACCTATCATTTTTACCTCATATTCAATGAGTAAAAT